ACATACGAATTATCAACATCGAGTAATTATTTATCAATAATATTATTCATGCAGAATATTCATTTATCAAGTGATTCAAAAGGTAGACAAATATAACAGGCAGAACGCTCAGTGAATAAACTCACCCTTTTATAACAACAACACAACACTGCACACATTCACTGTCTTTAATACACTGCCCTGATTAAGTTTAAGACACAGGGAACGGGATAGTTAAAACTATATAGTATATGTATGTATTTACAAGACATTCCCATAGCTACATAGGTAATCTAGGGACGGAGCGAGCTCATGAGAAGTGTTATTCTAGTCTAAACAAATGAGTCCTTGAAATATTTTCGAACATACTGCCCTTGGTTGACTTTTATTTTAAGGTGTATTTGAAATATTATATATTGAAATAATCTGAGTGCTTACAAACGCGGTTACGATTGCACTTGTTTCATCCACATATATACGCACCGTCGATGTTAAATTTACGTTGAGGCTAGTCCCCATGAAACTTTTTATGGTAGTATTTACATCGCTTGTGATATTCAAATGTAAATATTTCGCAATGGAATAGCGAATAATCGTACAGCTACTCCCCGTGTCGACTAAACATTTTATTTTTCGTCCGTTAATTCGAGCATTTTTAATAAATAAGTCTTTTGTTTTTATTGCGGGGCCTAATAATGAGTCTGTTTCACACTGGGCAATTTGTTTTTTATTCGAACGTGATTTGTCGCTACACTGTTCCCGTGTGTGACCTAGTTTGTTACACAAGTTACATTTTATTATCGGCTTTCGACAGTCTGATGCGAGATACGCGATGATTTCCGCCGCATTTACAACAATTAATTCTTTTTATCGATGAATTCTTATATTGTTTTTGTTTATAAAGTTGAGTAGGAACCTGATCCTTTAATTTTTTATGATATGAACTGCTTGTATTACTGTTTTTAGTAAAAGTTATTTTAGTAATTGATTGATGACTCAAATAGTTGGCTAATTCGCCTACTGTTTTACTTGATAAGTAATAAGTAGATAACGCAATAGTATCATCACCTAAACTTTCGATAACACTGTCAATCAAGCACACTTCGGGAATGTCCAAATTTAGTTTATTTAGTTTTGTCACCTTTTCGAAACAAAAATCACTCAAATTTTGTTTATAACTGGGTTCATAATTCGCTGCTTCAATTAATAATTTCCCAAATTTAACCGGTTCAGGAAAAGTTGTTAACAGTAAATCTTTAAGATCATCCCAGGTAACACGCGCGTTTCCCCGAAACCGACTTGTAGCTAATTTAATTACAGTTAATTCGTCCCATTTATGAAAAGTTGCAAGTCCGTCTACTTTAATTAACCACTCCGATACACTTAATAAACCGACACCTGGATCAAAGGTTGGAATGACTGCCTCATTTACGGCCAGACTAAGAGTCGGAACATTAATTGTAGAGAGTCTGTCATTTAAAAGAGTACTTATCTTTTCTTCTAGACGTGCGAGTTTCTTCTTTTGCCTCGAGATTTCCCTTTCATATGTTGAAGATCTTTTCGACTTTTCTCTTTGTGTTTTCTTTTGGAACTCGTACTTCTGGTCGCTCTTTCAGGGCTTTTCATGGGTGGGGGTGATCTTTCTAGGGTGTATCCCTCTGAAGATATGGAATCTCCCGATGACGATAGTCGCCTTAATGTGAATGGTATTTCAGGGGAGTGTCCATCCGGAGTTTGCGGTTTTTGTTGTCGAAAATTACTACTTTTATGTTTGCCCATTTTAATTATCTTTAAACACTTGTCACTAACTTATTAAATGTACTTTTTATGCACATGGATTAACCAATCCCATTCCTGAATTTGTAAGGGTTGAAATTAAACTAAACAGTTTAAGGTTCAAAACGAATAACACTATATATTTTTCATAGTCCATACATCGACTTTTTATATATAACCTTTCATCGTCACGTCTTAGCATATAATAATCCAGTTTGTCATCCTGTTACAATTTCATCCACACCGCTCGTGTTGACCTTCCTAAGGCGCCTTTCCNTGAATGGTCCCCTAAACGATGGTGCGAGTTTTTGACTACTACCTGTAGCTTGTATGCTTGTTTTTAGTATCATTACTATTTCACCTTTAGTATATTGTTTTGCTTTTTTACGGGTTTTATCAAATCGCTTCTTTTGAACATTTTGATCTCTAACGATCCGTTTACTCACATTTTCTCTTACTTGTTGTAAATCTAGTCGCTCTACCTCATTTTGCACAACGCTAAGAATTTTCGCTTCTGCGATGTTTCGCCCTTTGTATCCCGCCAGAACTTCTAAATGTGAAACACCTATGGTTTTATTTTCTGTAGAGTTCAGAATACCTTGAATTGGCTTAACAAGTGTGTCCCATTTGGACTCTTTCATGCCTGCAGCCATTACTGCTAGGGTATTTAGCACAACCCGGTTTGCACGCTCACACTGGCCATTTGCCCGAGGCGTGGCTACCGCATTTAGAGTGTGATGAATACCATATTTATTACAAAACGATTCAAATTTTCTGGGCGTATAGGCCGAACCTCTATCGCTAATTATACGTCGTGGGGTCCCGAAAATATAAAATAAACTGTATATTTGTTATCATCAATCGATGTGTGATAGACGTCGCGGCCGATCTCGGCTATTATTCATTTATTTCATTTCATTGGTGACGACACGTTCAACATATACAGATCGTCTTTAATTTTTATGAAAAAATGGACAAAAAAAGAAAAACGAAAGTCATCAAGATTCGTATTTGAATCTCGCGTGCTCACGTGTCACGTCACCACTATGACTAACGAGTAACGAGAACCAGTAACGAACAGTACGAATACAAAACACGATATTGATGTTATTTATTGTTATTACCATTATCGATTTCTATTTCTGATTTTTTACGTTTTGTTTACAAAGTTTACATATAACGCGTGACATTTTACTACACNATAAATAAAAGAATAGTTTTGAAGTAAAAAGTATAAAAGAGGTTTATAAGGGGTGTTGTAATTTTGCGATAGGTTGCCGGTTCAGGGTAAATTACATGCAGAAATGCCGAAGCGAAAGAAGTTTTATAGGATGTTATTGTTAATTGAAGAAAATGTAGGCGGTGGTTGTTAAAATTGTAAGGAGGGATATTTTTTAAAGGAGGTTGTAAAAGTGAGATTTTTAAAGAGTAATAGAAGAGAACGATTGTCAGCATTTCGTAGAAGTAGAAAGAAAAGATATGTTTATAATATTAGATGGGTTTACAACACCTTCCCCCTAAAGAAGAGGTTTTATGAAGGGCAACGAAATAAAACCTTAAGAATAATAAGATTTTTAAAGAGTAATAGAAGAGAACGATTGTCAGCATTTCGTAGAAGTAGAAAGAAAAGATATGTTTATAATATTAGATGGGTTTATAACACATTCCCCCTAAAGAAGAGGTTTTATGAAGGGCAACGAAATAAAACCTTAAGAATAATAAAATTTGCTACAAATAATATAAGATAGAAGTTATCGGTTATGAATTATATACGATTATACTATACTATTTTAAAAACTATATTAATGATGTTACATTTATTAAGAAAGCAGTTAATTATTTAAATGTTCGAATGTCTTTAAAACTATGTATACTAAT